ATTAATACTTTTCTCATCAGAAGCAAATTAGAAGCATGTCCTACCATGAGCTAGTAACATTTTTTATTTTTTTATTTTTTTTGGGTGGGGTTCAAGTTTTCCAAAAGAAGTGATAAGGAACAAAGATTGAAAGAAGATGAATGGTTGATAAATGAATGGAAGAAAGATTTACTAGTGAACACATTCACAGACTCAGTTGAGAAAACCCTGAATAAAATTTCCTTCCCTTGCTACAGCCTCTTTGAAAATAGATCGGTAATAATGAAGAAGCATGATATCCGCATTTAAATCATTGAATTTGAAGGATGTAATTAGAGAGGAAGCCGAGACATTAGAAGACGGGGAAAAGTAATAGAATAAATACAAGGAAAGGTCACTCACTAGGTTTCCTAATCTCCTCTTTGTTCATCTGATTGTCAAAATTTTAAAATTGACAGGTGCTATATAGATACTTTGCTTAATTTCAAAAGTAAAGCAGTCAATATGTCAAACTTTTTCATAATTGACATGTTTAATGTATAATATAGACAAATCAAATGATAGAAACAACATAACATAGCATGCATAGACTAGCGGCAATTCCACACCTAACACCACCTTGAGGTGTAGAGTTCAAACCTCTCACGCCAAGTTAAAAAAACAAATAATAAAAATATATATATAAATCTTGTAAATCTAAAAAATACCTGAAAATTGTCGAATGAACGCTGAGGAATGTTATCATCAAAATGTTGCATTGCATCCCATGGTCCATCTCCCACTCCGACCAGAATAATTGAAAGAGGATATTCGCTGTTTAAAAGATATCAATTATGAGGCACCAAAAATAGGAAATACAGATTACTGAAGATTCAAATGGGACAGCTTTACCTGGCAGCAACTATGGCGTTTACAGTTTCTTGTTCTTGTGGACTTAACCTTCCTGGTGGTGTATCAGGATTCCTCGTAACCTATTTAAAGATGAAGGCGTAAGGTTCAATAAAATTACAAGGAAACATATGTAAGGAAAACATATTTGAAATAATAATAACCTGTCCATCTGCAATGATGACAAGAACATGATATTGATTATTGCTTCTCTCAACAATGTCAATTGCAGCACCAATTATTGAGAGAAAAGAGGTTGGACCTATGAACAAGGATATGCAAGATGAGAATAGTCAGGAATACACACAATGCAAGATTCAAAACGAGTACCAGCGACAGCTACCCCACATGCAAGGGCAAGATGTAGAACAATGGAATGGATAAACACATCCTCTTGATGGAATACATGCCTGGTTTCTGGTACTGGGACTCCATTGGACAAAGGAAAACAATTTTTGCTAATGTAGCAGGAAATGGGGAGAAAAGCAAAAATCATTAGCTTCTTCCCCTTGGAATCTCTAAAACAACTTTTCTTTCTTGATTTTATATATCCATAACTACAAGGACCACTATTGTATGACTGATAGACTAATAAACGGAAAGCAACAATAAAGAATAGAAAAATCCTTTTTGCAATTGCACAGATACTCGGCAAATGAAAAGCTTCAAGTAGCTAATAATTTTCAAAAGGAAATTGCGTAAATAA